GGGAGGGGGTCACTGGGGGTAGGGGAGGGGGTCACTGGGGGTAGTGGAGGGGGTCACTGGGGGTAGGGGAGGGGGGGTAGGGGAGGGGTCACTGGGGGTAGTGGAGGGGGTCACTGGGGGTAGTGGAGGGGGTCACTGGGGGTAGTGGAGGGAGTCACTGGGGGTAGTGGAGGGGGTCACTGGGGTAGGGGAGGGGGGTCACTGGGGGTAGTGGAGGGGGTCACTGGGGGGTAGTGGAGGGGGTCACGGGGGGTAGTGGAGGGGGTCACTGGGGGTAGTGGAGGGGGTCACTGGGGGTAGGGGAGGGGGTCACTGGGGGTAGGGGGTCACTGGGGGTAGTGGAGGGGGTCACTGGGGGGTACTGGAGGGGGTCACTGGGGGGTAGTGGAGGGGGTCACTGGGGGTAGGGGAGGGGGTCACTGGGGGTAGTGGAGGGGGTCACTGGGGGGTAGGGGAGGGGGTCACTGGGGGTAGTGGAGGGGGTCACTGGGGGTAGGGGAGGGGGTCACTGGGGGTAGGGGAGGGGGTCACTGGGGGGTAGGGGAGGGGGTCACTGGGGGTAGTGGAGGGGGTCACTGGGGGGTAGGGGAGGGGGTCACTGGGGGGTAGTGGAGGGGGTCACTGGGGGTAGGGAGGGGGTCACTGGGGGTAGGGGAGGGGGTCACTGGGGGTAGGGGAGGGGGTCACTGGGGGTAGGGGAGGGGGTCACTGGGGGTAGTGGAGGGGGTCACTGGGGGTAGGGGAGGGGGTCACTGGGGGTAGTGGAGGGGGTCACTGGGGGTAGGGGAGGGGGTCACTGGGGGTAGTGGAGGGGGTCACTGGGGGTAGTGGAGGGGGTCACTGGGGGTAGGGGAGGGGGTCACTGGGGGTAGGGGAGGGGGTCACTGGGGGTAGTGGAGGGGGTCACTGGGGGTAGGGGAGGGGGTCACTGGGGGTAGTGGAGGGGGTCACTGGGGGTAGGGGAGGGGGTCACTGGGGGTAGTGGAGGGGGTCACTGGGGGGTAGGGGAGGGGGTCACTGGGGGTAGGGGAGGGGGTCACTGGGGGTAGGGGAGGGGGTCACTGGGGGTAGTGGAGGGGGTCACTGGGGGGTAGTGGAGGGGGTCACTGGGGGTAGGGGAGGGGGTCACTGGGGGTAGTGGAGGGGGTCACTGGGGGTAGGGGAGGGGGTCACTGGGGGTAGGGGAGGGGGTCACTGGGGGTAGTGGAGGGGGTCACTGGGGGTAGGGGAGGGGGTCACTGGGGGTAGGGGAGGGGGTCACTGGGGGTAGGGGAGGGGGTCACTGGGGGTAGTGGAGGGGGTCACTGGGGGGTAGTGGAGGGGGTCACTGGGGGGTATGGGAGGGGGTCACTGGGGGTAGTGGAGGGGGTCACTGGGGGTAGGGGAGGGGGTCACTGGGGGTAGGGGAGGGGGTCACTGGGGGTAGGGGAGGGGGTCACTGGGGGTAGGGGAGGGGGTCACTGGGGGTAGTGGAGGGGGTCACTGGGGGTAGGGGAGGGGGTCACTGGGGGTAGTGGAGGGGGTCACTGGGGGTAGGGGAGGGGGTCACTGGGGGGGTAGTGGAGGGGTCACTGGGGGTAGGGGAGGGGGTCACTGGGGGTAGGGGAGGGGGTCACTGGGGGTAGGGGAGGGGGTCACTGGGGGGTAGTGGAGGGGGTCACTGGGGGTAGGGGAGGGGGTCACTGGGGGTAGTGGAGGGGGTCACTGGGGGTAGTGGAGGGGGTCACTGGGGGTAGTGGAGGGGGTCACTGGGGGGTAGTGGAGGGGGTCACTGGGGGGTAGGGGAGGGGGGTCACTGGGGGTAGGGGAGGGGGTCACTGGGGGTAGTGGAGGGGGGTCACTGGGGGGTAGTGGAGGGGGTCACTGGGGGGTAGTGGAGGGGGTCACTGGGGGGTAGGGGAGGGGGTCACTGGGGGTAGTGGAGGGGGTCACTGGGGGTAGGGGAGGGGGTCACTGGGGGTAGGGGAGGGGTCACTGGGGTAGGGGAGGGGGTCACTGGGGTAGGGGAGGGGGTCACTGGGGGTAGGGGAGGGGGTCACTGGGGGTAGTGGAGGGGGTCACTGGGGGGTAGGGGAGGGGGTCACTGGGGGTGTAGTGGAGGGAGTCACTGGGGGTAGGGGAGGGGGTCACTGGGGGTAGGGGAGGGGGTCACTGGGGGTAGGGGAGGGGGTCACTGGGGGTAGGGGAGGGGGTCACTGGGGGTAGGGGAGGGGGTTCACTGGGGGTAGTGGAGGGGGTCACTGGGGGTAGTGGAGGGGTCACTGGGGGTAGGGAGGGGGTCACTGGGGGTAGTGGAGGGGGTCACTGGGGGTAGTGGAGGGGGTCACTGGGGGTGTAGTGGAGGGAGTCACTGGGGTAGGGGAGGGGGTCACTGGGGGTAGGGGAGGGGGTCACTGGGGGTAGGGGAGGGGGTCACTGGGGGTAGTGGAGGGGGTCACTGGGGGTAGGGGAGGGGGTCACTGGGGGTAGTGGAGGGGGTCACTGGGGGTGTAGTGGAGGGGGTCACTGGGGGTAGGGGAGGGGGTCACTGGGGGTAGGGGAGGAGGTCACTGGGGGGTAGGGGAGGGGGTCACTGGGGTAGTGGAGGGGGTCACTGGGGGTTAGGGGAGGGGGTCACTGGGGGTAGGGGAGGGGGTCACTGGGGGTAGGGGAGGGGGTCACTGGGGGTAGTGGAGGGGGTCACTGGGGGTAGGGGTCACTGGGGGTAGGGGAGGGGGTCACTGGAGGTAGGGGAGGGGGTCACTGGGGGGTAGGAGAGGGGGTCACTGGGGGTAGGGGGTCACTGGGGGTAGTGGAGGGGGTCACTGGGGGGTAGGGGAGGGGTCACTGGGGGTGTAGTGGAGGGGGTCACTGGGGGTAGTGGAGGGGGTCACTGGGGGTAGGGGAGGGGGTCACTGGGGGTGTAGTGGAGGGGGTCACTGGGGGTAGTGGAGGGGGTCACTGGGGTAGTGAAGGGGGTCACTGGGGGTAGGGGAGGGGGTCACTGGGGGTAGGGGAGGGGGTCACTGGGGGTAGTGGAGGGGGTCACTGGGGGGTAGGGGAGGGGGTCACTGGGGGTGTAGTGGAGGGGGTCACTGGGGGTAGTGGAGGGGTCACTGGGGGTAGGGGAGGGGGTCACTGGGGGGTAGTGGAGGGGGTCACTGGGGGGGTAGTGGAGGGGGTCACTGGGGGGGGGTGGAGGGGGTCACTGGGGGGGGGGGGTAGTGGAGGGGGTCACTGGGGGTAGTGGAGGGGGTCACTGGGGGTGTAGTGGAGGGGGTCACTGGGGGTAGTGGAGGGGGTCACTGGGGGGTAGGGGAGGGGGTCACTGGGGGTGTAGTGGAGGGGGTCACTGGGGGTAGTGGAGGGGGTCACTGGGGGTAGTGAAGGGGGTCACTGGGGGTAGGGGAGGGGGTCACTGGGGGTAGGGGAGGGGGTCACTGGGGGTAGTGGAGGGGGTCACTGGGGGGTAGGGGAGGGGGTCACTGGGGGTAGGGGAGGGGGTCACTGGGGGTAGGGGAGGGGGTCACTGGGGGTAGGGGAGGGGGTCACTGGGGGTAGTGGAGGGGGTCACTGGGGGTAGTGGAGGGGGTCACTGGGGGTAGGGGAGGGGGTCACTGGGGGTAGTGGAGGGGGTGACTGGGGGGTAGTGGAGTGGGTCACTGGGGGGTAGTGGAGGGGGTCACTGGGGGTAGTGGAGGGGGTCACTGGGGGTAGGGGAGGGGCTACTGGGCGGGTCTGTAGCTGTGTGACGTCACCGCGCCTAAAACTTCCGTGCGTGACGTCACCGCGCTGTCTCACGCGCGCCTGGGAGAAGGGGGCGGGGTAGTGGTAGGGGGCGGGGTAGTGGGGGGTAGTGGTGGGGGGCGGGGTAGTGGGGGGTAGTGGGGGGAGGGAGCGCTGTGAAGCGCGGGCACGGCGAGGAGAGAGAGAGGCGAGTGAAGCCATCGCTGCCGAGACGGGAGAGGTGGGGGCGGAGAGACGACGATCAGGAGCAGCAGCAGCAGCAGGGAGAGAGACGTGGGGAGAGCGACACAGTGCGAGACGGGGAGACACTGGGACAGAGAGACACAGAGACACACTGAGACACAGAGAGAGAGAGAGACACACAGCGACACAGAGAGAGACACACAGAGAGACACAGAGAGAGAGACACAGAAACACAGAGACACAGAGAGAGATACACAGAGAGAGACAGAGACACACTGAGACACAGAGGGAGAGACACACAGAGAGACACAGAGAGAGACACAGAGACACAGAGAGAGACACACAGAGAGACACAGAGAGAGACAGAGACACACTGAGACACACAGAGACACAGTGAGACACACAGAGACACACAGAGACAGAGAGAGACACACAGAGACACAGAGAGACACAGAGAGAGACACAGAGACACAGAGAGACACAGAGAGACAGAGAGAGACACAGAGACACAGAGAGAGACACACAGAGACACAAAGAGAGATAGAGACACAGAGACACAGAGAGAGACACAGAGAGAGACACAGAGACACAGGGAGAGACACAGAGAGACAGAGAGACACAGAGAGAGACACACAGAGACACAGAAACACAGAGAGACACAGAGAGAGATATAGAGACACAGAGAGAGACACAGAAACACACAGAGACACATAAACACACAGAGAGAGACACAGATACACACAGAGACACAGAGAGTCACAGAGACACAGAAAGAGAAACAGAGAGAGACACAGAGACACAGAGAGATATATAGAGAAACAGAGAGAGACACAGAGAGAGACACAGATACACACAGAGACACAGAGAGAGACACAGAGACACAGAGAGAGACACAGAGACACAGAGAGGGGGTCACTCAGAGGGGGTCTCCAGACGGGGTCACACAGCGGGGCGCCTCGAGAGGGGTCTCAGGGGGGGTCTCAGAGGGGTCTCAGGGGGGTCTCAGGGGGGACTCGGGGTTGGATTTTGGATCCCCATGGGAGACCCCTAAGGGGAAAGGGGGAGGCGAGAGGGGGTGGACCCACAGGGGGTGGACCCACCGGGGGGGGACCCACAGGGGGTAGAGAGGAGGGGGGCCCCCCTCATGCCGCGGGACCCCCTCGTCTGCCGGGGCCATGTTCAGCTTCGGAGGTTCAACTCCCTCGGTGACAGCGACGACGACGAGGTGAGGGTGGTGGTGGGTGGTGGTGGATGGTGGTGGTTGGTGGTGTGTGGTGGGGGGTGGTGGGTGGTGGTGTGTGGTGGGGGGGATGGGTGGTGGTGGGGGGTGGGGGGTGGTGGGGGGGTGAGGGTGGTGGTAGTGAGGAGGTGGGGGTGAGGGTGGAGGGGGAGGCGGAGCGTGAATAGGTGAGGGGGTGAATACACTGACTCATACACTCACTCACTCATACACACACTCATACACACACTCATACACACACTCATACACTCACTCATACACTCACTCACACACTCATACACTCACACACTCATACACTCACTCACACACTCATACACTCACACACTCATACACTCACTCACACACTCATACACTCACACACTCATACACTCACTCACACACTCATACACTCACTCACACATTCACTCATACACTCACTCACACACTCATACACTCACTCACACACTCATACACTCACTCACACATTCACTCATACACTCACTCACACACTCATACACTCACTCACACACTCATACACTCACTCACACACTCATACACTCACTCACACACTCATACACTCACTCATACACTCACTCACACACTCATACACTCACTCACACACTCATACACTCACTCACACACTCATACACTCACTCACTCATACACTCACACACTCATACACTCACTCATACACTCACTCATACACTCACTCACACACTCATACACTCACACACTCATACACTCACTCACACACTCATACACTCACACACTCATACACTCACTCACACACTCATACACTCACACACTCATACACTCACTCATACACTCACTCATACACTCACTCACTCATACACTCACACACTCATACACTCACTCATACACTCACTCATACACTCACTCACACACTCATACACTCACTCACTCATACACTCACACACTCATACACTCACTCATACACTCACTCATACACTCACTCACTCATACACTCACTCACACACTCACTCATACACTCACTCACACACTTACTCACTCACACACTCATACACTCATTCACTCACTCACTCATACACGCACTCATACACTCACTCATACACTCATTCACTCATACACTCACACCATCACTCATACACACACTCACTCATACACACACTCATACACTCACTCATACACTCACACACTCACTCATACACTCATTCACTCACTCACTCACACACTCACTCATACACTCATTCACTCACTCACTCATACACTCACTCATACACTCACTCATACACTCACTCATACACTCACTCACTCATACACTCACACACTCACTCATACACTCATTCACTCACTCACTCATACACTCATTCACTCACTCACTCATACACTCACTCATACACTCATTCACTCACTCACTCATACACTCACTCATACACTCACTCATACACTCACTCACTCATACACTCACTCACTCATACACTCACTCATACACTCACTCACTCATACACTCACTCATACACTCACTCATACACTCATTCGGGTTCGTAGCGCAGTAGCGCGCTAATCACAGCGCCACCGCTCCCCCACCGCTCCCCCAGGTGTACACACACACGTGTACACGTGTGTGTGCGTGTGTACACGTACACGTGTGTGTATACGTGTACACACACACGTGTACACACGTGTACACACGCACACATACGTGTACACACGCACACACACGTGTACACACACACACTACACACACACTACACACACCACACACACACTACACACACTACACACACAACACACACTACACACACACTACACTACACCCAGCACACACACTTCAAACACCACACACACTACACACACACACTACACACACACTACACACACACCACACACTACACACACTACACTACCCACAGGCCACAAACTACAAACACCACACACACACGACACACACACACTACACACACTACACACACACTACACACCCTACACACACACACTACACACAGCACACAAACTACAAACACCACACACACTTCAAACACCACACACACCACACACACACACTACACACACTACACACACACACTACACACACACTACACACACACATTACACACACTACACACACACCACTACACACAGCACACAAACTACAAACACCACACACACTACACGCATACACACTACACACACACTGCACACTGCACTACACACACTACACACTACACCACACGCTACACACACACTACACTACACACACTACACACACACTACACACACTACATTACACACACTACACACACACAACACACACTATACACAGCACACTAACTACAAACACCACACACACTACACACACTACACTACACACCCTACACACACACTACACTACACACACACTACACACACCCTACACACACTGCACACACACTGCACACACACCCCACACACTACACCCACACACTACACCCCACACACTACACACACTACACACACACACTACACACACACACTACACACACACTACACACACACCACACACTACACACACTACACTACCCACAGGCCACAAACTACAAACACCACACACACACGACACACACACACTACACACACTACACACACACTACACACCCTACACACACACACTACACACAGCACACAAACTACAAACACCACACACACTTCAAACACCACACACACCACACACACACACTACACACACTACACACACACACTACACACACACTACACACACACATTACACACACTACACACACACCACTACACACAGCACACAAACTACAAACACCACACACACTACACGCATACACACTACACACACACTGCACACTGCACTACACACACTACACACTACACCACACGCTACACACACACTACACTACACACACTACACACACACTACACACACTACATTACACACACTACACACACACAACACACACTATACACAGCACACTAACTACAAACACCACACACACTACACACACTACACTACACACCCTACACACACACTACACTACACACACACTACACACACCCTACACACACTGCACACACACTGCACACACACCCCACACACTACACCCACACACTACACCCCACACACTACACACACTACACACACACACTACACACACACACTACACACACACTACACCCCACACACTACACACCACATACACACTACACCCCACACACACTACACACCACACACTACACACACCCTACACACACCACACACACACTACACCTCACACACACCCCACACACTACACACCCTACACACACACACACTACACACCACACACTACACACACCCTACACACACCCTACACACACACACACTACACACACACCACACACACACTACACCCCACACACTATACACACCCTACACGCACCCTACACACACACTACACACACACCACACACTACACACACCCTACACACACTACACACACACCCCACACACTACACACCATACACTACACACACCCTACACACACACCACACACACACACACCACACACTACACACACACCCCACACACTACACACACACACTACACACACCCCACACGCACGCGCCACACGCACGCACACACAGTGACACCCCCGCTACTCACAGTAACATTAACACATCCATTCATACACATGCAAGCACACAGACAAAGATCCCCCGTGTAGCCTGTAACAGACTGTAGGGGCAAGTGCTGTTAGTAGCGAGTAGCAGCGCCTACACACAAAGACAAAGAGCCCCCGTATAGCCTCTAACAGACTGTAGGGGCAAGTGCTGTTAGCGAGTAGCAGCATCTACACACAGACAAAGATCCCCCGTGTAGCCTCTATCAGACTGTAGGGGCAAGTGCTGTTAGTAGCGAGTAGCAGCGCCTGTGAAGGCTACCGGCACTGTGGCACACGAGGGGGTGGGTGGCCAGCACCACGCCCGGCCGCCTTTGTCTCCCTCGTGGCGATGTTTACTGCACACACCGCTACACCAGGTACTCATTTGAGGCTGAGTCTACCTAGGGGAGGCCCTGGGCCGATGGCTGTCACCGCTCATTGTGGTCGTGATCGGGAAGCGAACTCGCGTGTCTGACGAGTTCGGAGCGCACACACACATACACACGTGTACACACACACGTGTATACACACACACGTGTACACACACAGTGTACACACACAGTGTACACACACACACACACAGTGTACACACACACAGTGTACACACACACACAGTGTACACACACACACGTGTACACACAGAGTGTACACACAGTGTACACACACACACGTGTACACACAGTGTACACACACACACGTGTACACACACGTGTACACACACGCAGCGTGTACACACACGTGTACACACACACGTGTACACACACACACGTGTACACACACACGTGTACACACACACACGTGTACACACACACGTGTACACACACACACGTGTACACACACACACGTCTGTGTACACACACACACGTCTACACACACACACACACCGTGTACACACACACACACACGTGTACACACACCGTGTACACACACACGTGTACACACACACACACGTGTACACACACGTGTACACACACGTGTACACACACACCTGTACACACATACGCGTGTACACACACACGTGTACACGTACAAACACACATGTACACGTGGACACACACACGTGTACACACGTACATACACGTGTACACACACATGTACACGTGGACACACACGTGTACCCTCACACGTACACACACACACACGTGTACACATACACACACGTGTGTGTGTACGTGTCACACGTACACGTACACACACACACGTGTACACACACACACGTGTACACACACACACTGCACATGCAGTCAAAATCAATCACAACCATCATCAGTAGCATCATCACCATCACCCCATGCCGCCCTGAGCACTCCCCTCACCGTGTCTCCCACTAACCCACTGTGTCTCCACCGTGTCTCCCACTAACCCACCGTGTCTCCC